GAAATAACAGAAGCTAATGAGATGCTGATGAAACATCGGAGTTACGATAATTTAAAGGAGGAATTGGACGGATTAAAAGGATAAAGCTTTTTGGGATGCGGCACGCATTCTACTTCCATTTGTACATTCGTAGTGGCGTTTGAATGCGATGTGGCCTATACAATGACTTGCGGGGGCCAGCCGATGTTCAAGTCAGTGTTTTTATCCTCCCAGACAAGTCTGGTACCAATTAACCGACCCCGGAGGGATGGAAGGCTTGGTTGGCCCGGGCGACTCACGACCCAGGATTTGATCCCCGGACCGCTCGCGTGGTAAGCGTGCCACTTGCCACTACACCACTTCCGCCCATAAGGCGGAATTACGATAGAAAAAGAGCCCATTAGAAATCAAGGTAGAGCGGTCAGTGGTGCAGGGATAAAGAAAAAATCATGACAAACAGCCGAGACCCAAGAAATGGGACCGTTTTCTTAAAAGTAATTTCCGCATCAATGCGACTCCTATCGGTGCTGCTTTCGTCAACGCTAACGCTCTCTGTGCTGAAAGGCAAGACAGAGAGGGTGGGCGAAGCGCGGCGCGTGGACGGCCATGCTAAACCGCTGGGGACATCTCTTTCGCTGCGAACTGCGTGTAGGTCCGCCACCGCCGCCCTGTGATCCGACTCAGATTTTTGGGTAACAAAATGACCCTATATGCAGTATGCAGCCCTTTCTGACACAGACAAAACTGCTAATATTTCAATATAAACAAGATGCTCCCAATCACCAACACAACTCACCATAACCGGCGTCGGTTTCGAGGTTGACTCGGAGTTTTGCATCGATGCTGGTGAGGTCTTCGGCTTGCCTTCTGTGGCATTATCTTCTGAGACAGGTGCGGCTTTACTCGCCGACTGAGATGATGGCTGATCCACCTCCATTTCAGTTTCCTGACTTGATGACTTCTCAGGCTGAACAGCATCCTTCCCTTGTGACGGCGGCGGAGAGGTTACAGTATCCAACGAAGATTTCTTCTCTCTTTTCTTCTTCTCTTTTGGTGCCTTCTCAGATGAAGAGCGCTTTTCCTTCTTTGCAGGCTTGTCGGCTTCTAAACAACTATTTGTGAGAACAATGCTCGCAGTCAAGACATTTATGAAAAGGTGCAGAAGCTTAGAGTTATTTAATGGAAAAAGGATCAAATAGAATAGTAGGATTCTGAACATACTCTTCAAAGTAAGCTTCAGCACAATCGGAGGTTTGTCAGATGAGGACGGTGTAGAAGCCTGAAAAATGGTCAAGAGCTCGTTCAGAAAAAAAGGACATCAGCACTAAATAATCGGAAGAAAAATAACACGATCTCAGAAAGTCTATTGTTACCTCTGTTTCACAAGAATGCTGGGTTGTGAACAAAACTTTCCGGGAACAAGTCCCGCCTGGGCGAAAGTTTCTGTTCACAACCCAGCATTCTTGTGAAACATTCGCAACGCGAACTGCGGCGTTAAAACAGCAGTTAACAAACAAAACAAGTCTATGTTACGCAATCACAACCAGAGGTAAGGATAAATTACCTGATTTTCAGCCACACTAGATGAAGCGATAACCACGGTTTCAACTGCAGTCTCAGATTCCTTCTGAATATAGGATGATATAACTTCGCATAAAGAAATCCTGATATAATATCTCTAAGCTCTACAGTAAAGGAGTTCAAAACTTTCATTACGAAGTCGAACAAAACCAAAAGCCCAAAAAGCACGATCAACGTGGCTAGGTACTGAAAACTGCCGGATGATTTGAAAACCAGATGGACTTCAGGATTTTAAGGGGACTTTTGATAAAACTTCGGAATATCGCACTATCTAGTGAAGTACTTTGTGTGTTGTTGTTCACAAATTCAGAACTTTCGCGCCACAGTACGCACAAGAGTGATACCCGCCCAAAAAACTCATATACATTAACACGTTGACGACAGCGCAGGACACATACGTCCCGCACTTTGCAGGCCATGACGGACAGCGCGGGACGTATGTGTCCTGCACCCATTACGTTCCTTTTTTCAGCGCACGCGTGATTCTTTTCTAAGTTTATTGTGTTTACTCCATGGAATAAGCCCTAGCATAGCCACAAACATAGTAGCTCGTGAAATGGTAACGTATATTTTAATTTAGGAGTAGGCTTTTAGAACTGCACGAAATTTTATGTCTGATTAATTTTTCGTTTCCATTTTCCCTTCATGAATGTGAAGGTTAAAAGAGTAGTAGGAGTAAATAGGTGACCTAAGAGATGATGACATTTGTGTTTTTGTTAAAATGATTGAAGTGAAACAGCTTTTGAGGTCAATTGCAGCTAATTCTGACAATTTTTGCATTTCATTGTTATTTCAAGTCTTGTATCGAAATCCATTACTATACACCCTTCCAAGCTTATGTTCACTTGATATCACTGTTTCAATTTTGTATCACCCATGTTTTATGTATTTAGCACTCAAAATCCGCTTGAATTACCTGACGCATCCGCGCTCGCAAAATCGCGCCGGTCCCACGCGGCCAAAAAAGCCAAAACGCGCATTGTCGTCAACGTGTTAAACTAAACGTAAACACAACGAGGATACCAAAGTCAAAAGGAAAAAAGCACTCTGCGTTTTCTTGTGGACTATTATAGATTGAAAACTAAATACTTAGATAACCTTTCGTTCAGCGGCTTTCCGTTTTGTGGCCCTTTGAGGTGGCGCTTTTCCTTTCCTTTGACGTCCTTTTGGTGCTGGTTGAGGAGTAAGGGCTTCGCTGAACCACGTGAAGTGTCCTGGAGGAAAGAGACGAGGTCATCACGAAAAGAATGAAGATATAAAACAAAAGAATTTCTAGATACGTGTACCAAGAAAACGAAGAGGAAAGTCCTACATCGGGCGTCAGCAATTTGGACGAGAGCGTTGGAGTATTGGATCTTGAAGCCTCTCGTGATGAACTCGTATAACTTCGTATGTCATGACTTCTGTGACCTTCTACCCGACGATCTGTGGTAAGGAACTAAAAATAATAACTATTGCACAAAGCTTGAAGAGTATAAGAGCTTGAAGAGTGTGGAAATTGAAAAAATGCAGAATATATTTTTCAGAAAACTCCACTACTGTCTTCATAAGGAAGTACAGTTTCGCTTTTGAGAACAATTCTATGAAACCATAATGATTCTATTAACTGGTCCACTGCCTTACCTTAGCAGCCCTTTCAAGCTGTTCAAATGATTTCTTTCTCTGTTAGGAAAAAAAAGATGACTTACTAATTCAGTAGCTGTATTCTTGTGAGTAGGATCAAAAAGTTTCTTCAATTCACTAGGCGCATCTGCCAATTCCGCTGCCGGTTTTCCGTAGAAAACATCATCGGCCTGAAGTTCTCGTGGCTTCAAACTGCTACTTTCCTAGAGGAACATTCGCTTAGATTGAGATAGAAAATAGGCTTATCAATTTTAAGATCTAGAAGCTAACGACGTAATAATCCCTTCTCTCGTAACTATTTCCGCTAGCATATTCCCATCGAGGACCACGCTTTGTTCGCCTGGCTTTTCTCGCTTCTGAATGACCTTCATCAAGTTCTATAAAATACAGAAGGATCTACGTTGCAATCTTAGTAATCACCACCATAGAAAAAAAATGATAAAATACATCATGCATAAATTTTTAAGGACTTATTGTGAGAGCATTATATTGTAATATGAGAATCTAGAGTTAAATAAATAAATGCCAATAACGCTAGTAAGTAAAATTGACATTTTATATATGAAATGGAACGGAATGCCCAGAAAAAAAATATTATGGGAAAAACAGAAAAGAAGGGAAAAATGAAAGCCAAATGAAATATCTTGGAAAAATTTGGAAACTTACTGTCGGCCTTGAGAAGCTGCTCAACCTTTTCCTTATGTGCTTCTCGGAACTCCTCCAACAAGGCCTTACTTTCAGAACTCGTAAACATGATGAATAATTGCAGGCCTTCTAATTCATGGGCCAAAACCTAGCTAACACAATTCAACAGAATCCGGTGGAGAAAACAAAAATCTGCAAAAATCTATCGAAAATACGTACACTTCTTACCGGTGAAACTCTCTTCAGGTTCCCACGTGTCTTCACTAGGTTTGCAGCCAACCCATCGAACACGGTATTTGAAAATACCGTTCTGTATTTTAATGTCCTCAATGCTCTCAACCTGCAAATAGAGAAATTCTGAATTTCTCTCCAACTACAAACATACTTTCAAAAGATGGAGAAGTTCAAGTTGATGTGAGTTGAATTCAAAGTCACAATTCCACTGCCTGGCACGACCCGCGGCGTATGCTCATCGCGCGTAAAAGAAACTTAGAAAATTCATGAACTCTAAATGAAGAGTGGAGGTCGAATAACGCAGCAGCCTTCAGTTTCACTACGAGTCTTCGTAGTAAAGCTGGATGGCTCCATTTTCTCACAATTTCGTTTTTTCCATATTATTTTTCGCGATGATTCAAATTTCATTCGGTTCGAAACGAGGTAGGGTAAGTTTAGTGGCCACTCGCACATGCTCCTATGTTCTCTGTCAAAAAAAGCCACAGCGCAGGCGTTATAGGCGCCCACCTACTAAGCTCCTAACGACCCTAACGGCTAGTAAGGCGAGCCATGGTGGAGCGAAAGGAAGTCAGGGGTGGTGTGAGCCACGTCCGCGTGGGCAAGTTTAAGCGAGTCCACTGTGGCCCTGAACGCCCACCGCCGAAAAAGTAGAGGGTAGCACACCGAAGCTTTTTGGAGCCGAGCTCAAGTAGCTCGTAAAACGTGTTTAGTACGCGTTCAGCAGTAGGTCTAATTGTAAATGGAAATGACTGCTTGGCGCAACCCAAAGAGCAAGTTGATCAATGCCATGAAGACCGCAGCTCTCCGGCAACAAGTATGGCTCTCACCTCATCGCCCTCTGATTCTTCTCCCTCTTCGTCTTCCACTTCATCGTCTTCATCTTCCAAACCGGCATCGCCCATATGGACATTGCCTTCAAACGTAGAAGCCTGTGGCTGAAATAACGTCTTGTTAGCTATGCTCATTCATATTCTGCAACTGGACTTCTCCCTGTTTATTAAATGATTGTCAATCATAGGCACAACAAACAACAGCAAACTATATGATGCCTAACCAAAGGAATGATATATACAAGACAGAATGAACAACGAAACTTTCAAAAGCTGGAAACTTGTTTCCGTTATTGGCAGACATTACTCTTACAAATATTGTGCACTTCGTACTGAGTCCTAGATAAGAGCTATTTTTAGAGCTGATCAAGAAATCGACAACAACTTGGCAAATCACCGAAGCTCACCTTCTCTTCGACTTCACTTTGAACAGTCTCATCGCACTCCATCTCCTCCTCCTTCGTTGTTGCCATATTTCTCGGTTGGAGTACTAGGCTCCTACCAGTGAGAGCAGGTTGGAGTGTCTGAAATGCGCCTTTACTTAGGACAGTGTATACACCTGAGAATGGGCCACTCGAGTTCAACTCCAGTTACTCACGTAGTACTCTGTCAAAAGGATAAGGTAATTCTTCTCTAGATAGTCAAAAAGGCTTGGTTCCGACACCCCTCGACGATACTCCGGAGAAGCTCAAGCACTACCGCGCTGTGTAAAGTGCCTTGAAATATCAGCGTTGAAAAACCACAGAATCACATACATTTTGAATTACTAACATCAAAACAGACTTTTTCGTTGATACGGTAGCTACCCTGATTTACTGTCGATCACATCCCAATAAAAAGGTAAGATCAAAGTCCATTCAGATTGAAGGCGCTCCGCGATTAGGCGCGCTCACCTGTTTCCACCCCGGGGGTAGTACAGGCGGACAAGTGTTGATGTCGCGCCCCTTTTGCGGCTTGAAAGTGCGCGACAAGGGCGCTAGAAGCTCGTCCGACCCGCAATCCACTCCTTCGTTTCTATTCAGGGCATGATCGGGGGTTTTCTTTGCTTTTTCTTTTTCCAGATCACCTCCCACCTCTAGATTCATAACTAAACCCTTGTTCCGCACCCATCTTACCCCGGAGCTTGCCTTCAAGTTACCGGACAAATCCTCAACGCCTGATTCCCGACACTGATTTCAAAATGGGAAACCATTTTCGAGTTTGTGAACTACAGTGATGGAAGGGAGACCAGTTGCCGATAGCTTTTTCATAGGCTCAGTTTCGTATGGGAGCTTCCATAGTCATTCGCCAGAGTGAAGACCGCACAGCATTACGTATGTAAGTATCGGTCACCCTGGCCGTATACCTTCCCCACAATGCTACAGTCTGTGACTTCCGCCAGTCCCTCGATTTCGGCAGAACGCGATTTTTGACGGTCGATGGCTCAACGTGATCAGGGCGCCCACCGTATACATAGTTGTGGGGGGAGGGAGAGTATATCAAGGGGAAGTCTATTTTAAGATTTCGATTCAAAATGTGATTCTATGGTGTTCTCGACGCTGATACCAAATACAGTCGATATCCGAAAGTTGGGGTAGGCGGTCACCGGAAGTGACGTGCACTTGATAGAAGTTGCGTGGATAAGCTGTTGCCAGCATGCTTTGCTGATAGCCAGCGATGTATGTTGGAAGCAACTTATCCACATAGCCTCTATCAAGTGCACGTCACTTCCGGTGACACGCCTACCCAACTCCGATATCGATATACGAATGGTCTGCATTTGACCAAAGAGTTAGGAAGGAGTCATTTCAATGCAGTGCACACAGGTGAAGGTATAAGCACAAGCCCCTACGAAGAACCCACCAATACGAACGGTGCCACTCGTTAGAGACCGTTTAGATGTCGGTCAGACTCTGCGATTGCATCGCGCGATGCAGTCGCTCTTGCAATGTGCACAAGCGACGGGCGATTGGCATCGCTCCAAAAGTGCGAGCGACGGGAGATTTACCCGAGCGGCGCCGTGTGTATCGGTCGTCGGCGGGGTAAATCTCCCGTCGCTCGCACTTTGGAGCGATGCCAATCGCCCGTCGCTTGTGCACATTGCAAGAGCGACTGCATCGCGCTATGCCTCGAGGGGGGCCAGTCGCCGCGCGCGGCCGTGCGGCAACAGGAAATTCGAACATTCCAGCTTCTCACGGAACATTCCAGCTTCTCACGCATGTCATGTGACTGCCCTCACCCCCAACCCCCCTGAATTGGCTACACTCCCCCTGGCTCACGAATTTCCTGTTGCCGCACAGCGCGGCGGGGACACCCCCCCCCCCGAGGCACATTGCGCCCTCACCCTCTCCTCCTCCAACTTCCAAAACTGAAAGTTTTCGTGGATCTGACGCAATGTTACGGGTTTCCTTCCCCCGGAGCCATACTGCGCCCGGATATCTAACAGGAACATACTGTTATGAGAAACAAAGATGGAAGAAAACCAAATAGACCGTCAATCACAAAATAATTTATGCAGTCGTGACGCAGGCCGCGCGCATCTAATTCGCACTGTAGCGCACAAACCGACACAATATTTCCTGTGAGTCCGCAAGAGCGCTACCTCACGTGTTGTTCACGTCATGTCATGTCACCTACATCATTATGCTAACCATTTAATGTACTTTTACAGAGAGTGCTCGGTAAACCATGTTATGGATGATAAAAATATCAAAGCTCAAGAAGCTTTGTCGCTTTTCTCTTGAAGTTTTTTGTTCATCCCTCTTCTGCCTCAAATTTCGCGTGTTTTTTAGGTTTAAAATCGGGCTTACTAGTCTTTCACGAAACTCGAAGCAATTGGGGGTCTATTCCAGTTAGGGGGGCATCATGATGCAGTTTCTCGGCGAGCTAATGTAAACTCGAACATTCCAGCTTCTCACGCATGTCAAGTGACTGCCCTCACCCCCCACCCCCTAGGCTGGCTACACTCCCCCTGGCTCAGAGTTACCGTAGCTTTTTGGGAGTCACCGCACCATGATGCCCCCCCCCTAACTGGAATAGACCCATATGTGGGCGTTGCAGCTTTAATTCCACCTCTATTCTTCCTTAAATTACAACCTATTTCTAATTATTTTAACCTTTTCAGATGATCCGCTCGGGGATCACGAGGGTCGTAAGGCAGATTCAGGTACGCAGCCTTGCGACCGACAAAGATCTACCCAGTACCTCGTTTGCATGACGCTAAGCGAAAGGAGGTGGACGATATAATAGAGCCGACAGTTCCGAAGGTAATTGTAACGCACTGTTTTTATAGACTTTCCTTGCATTTTGATGCTCTAGGTTCCCGTAATGGTACAGGCGCGACGAAGCAGCGGAATTGCGAAGCCTGGCAGAACACACAGAAGAGCGTACGTCGTCATCTCCCGAGCCATGCACGCCAGAGGCTACGCCGTCCGTTGGGGAATAACCCAAGGTTCGTTTGGAAGCAATTCTCTACAGTGCATACCAAAAGTATGTGGACTTCCTGGAATCAATTCCAGGGGGCTGCTAAAGATTTTTTTATGTCTCGAAACCTTCACCATTCAACTCTTGGGGGTCGATAACCTGAAAGCTATTTTCGGCAAAAGATTTCGTTCTGGTTTAGCAAACAATTTTTGATGAAATTTTTCTTCTTTGTGTCAAAAGTATGTAAACACCTCGAGATAGAAGAAGTTTCCGCACCGATTCCCTATCCTATTTTTACTTTTCTTTGCTTTACTTTGTTCATCATGGCAAGCATCCCTCTTCACGGCAAGCATTCTTCTAGTGAAGACCAAACGCAGATATGGAGTTCTCATGTGCTGAATCCTACCGCGAGACGGCGAAGTTGTCAAGTCAACCTGTCGAGGGTCTTCGTATATTAGAAAGGAGATCCAGTATCCTTATGCTAAGCTCCCGGAAATGACTAAGGGTTGCCTTCGATCGTTGCTTATTCAAAACAACACAAGAATAGCTCATGATGTGTCAAAAAGTTTTTATCTGCTACTCACGGACGGGAGACGGTCAATTCAATCGTCGGCTAATGAGGTCACGCCGCTCAGGCGGCGGTCAGCGTCGCGCGCGGCAATTGGTGCGGCGATTTTTGTATGGGCCTTGGCTTAACGGTCATTGTCCATAAGAAGCTGATGGGGTTAGAGAATTGATAAGACCAAAGTTCCAAACATCAGTGAGCCAACAAGAGTCACCTTAAGGTCTCTGTAGTTATTTAAGCTCCCTGTACGGAGCTTGTGCCATGTAAAGGTTGTCCTTTTGAACATAATGAGACTTCTCTATTAATCAACTGCCTGAATTGTTATCAGAGAGCGATAATCTGGCTAAATCGGAAAATATTACGCTCCAAGACGCAGTGGAACGGTGAGGAAGGCAGTAACATTAGTATGGCAGAA